GGCCCCCAGGAAGGGTCCCCTGTGGACTTCCTTCTTCACCCTCCCCGTGGGCCGCCCGCCGTTTGCCCGCACGCTTGGGCGCGGACTCCCCGTCTGCACTGCTGTCGGAGAGCCACCACTCCTCGCCATCGTCGCTGTATCCCTCACCTGCGGAGAGGCGCAGGGAGTCATATAGAGTGGCGCCAGTCTTGGGCAGCAAACAGCAGCAGCACCACCATCAACAGGAATAGTAGCAGGAGCAAACGGCGAAGGTGGGATGCACGTGGACACCCTGGAGAAAGCCACTGATGGCAAGTATAGGGAAATACAGGCAGGCAGTTCTAGAGAAAAGGCTCTCAGTGGAGTGGAAGGGGGAACGCAGGAGACACACAGAAGAGGAGACGAAAGATCGACAAAGTGACAGCAAGAGAGGCAAAGGCCGGGGCGACAGATGCGCGCATCAACAGATATTAGACAAATGAATTGACAGCCAGAAAGCGGAAAGTATATAGCAGAAAAACAGAAATAGACAGATGGCACAGCTGTCGTCTCACTGAAGTCCCCCTCTATCCAGTTTTCTGCCCTTCTTTGCTGCTTAAGCTCTGCGTATTCTTGGGCAGAGACGGTGGCAAATATTTCCGCGTTCTCGTCTCGAACCTGAGACGCGCAGAGGCAGCAAAAGGCTGATATAGCCGGAAAGAAGCAATAGTAGCAAAAATAGGGTGCAAGGGGGGGAGCCAACAGACGCACAGAGATCAAAACAGAAACGAGCAGAGATAGAGAAACGCAGATGCAAACGGGCATCGCTAAACGTCGTTGCCCTCGTGATCAAGCAACAAGCATCATCAATCAGGAATTTACGGCTGCGAAAAGTGAAGCCACAAAAGGGCGTTAAGGAAGGCAGCAGCGTGATGAAGTGGCAGCTGGTGCAGTAGGTCTTTAGTGCCCTGCCCCTCACCTCATACTGCTCTGTGGCCTTTGCCTCTCCTCGGCGCTGTTTCCTAATCTTCTCAAGGGCGGATAAGGCCCCACTTTTCGACGAAGATGCCATCGCTGGCTAGCTGCTGCACTGCAGCGACAGCAGTAGCAGCTGCAGCCTGTGCAGCAGCCGTTGCCACTGCCGCCCCCAGTAGCTGATGTACCTTGTCTTCGTTTTTGAGGGCCCCTGGGGCTTGGAAGGCCCAGGAGCCACCGGAGAGCTACCCAGGCAGTAAGGGTGTCTGTCAAGGCTGGATATCCCTCGGGTTGATAGAAGGGAACCGAAAGGAGACGGCTGGCTGGCGAAAGAGGGCTTGCCAAAAATTTGTTTTCGGGGCCCGTTCAGTAGGGCTTCCAGTTTGGATCTGGAAAGACGAGAAAAGATGGTATTGCCAACTCATACAATTGATACACGTCTTTTCTGTCGTGGGATTTAGCGTAAAACCCCGAAAACTAGCCTATTAAAGTGATGAAGGACAGCCAGCTCAGGGCTTGTGGTTCTTTGGTGGGGTGGCTTAACGGTGGGGTTGTGTTCTCAAACCTGCGTGGCTAATTTTGTCATGTCTCCGCAGCAAAATGCATATGTAACAATGTACAACAAAAATTGAAAATAATGCAAGTGAATTAATAAAGGGGAGTGTGAGGTCTCTATAGAGTTTCCATAGACCCATATTTTGTTATGTTGGTGGCTTTTCGGTTAACATTCTACTGGAGCGATTGCTTTTAGATGGTGCTGTGTGCAGGCGCGCAAGTATGTCCATAATTAGAAACTCGATCACATTTACGTGAAGTTGTTGAGAAGAGTAAGAATCTACTATGTAAGCATTGAACTGTTGGCTGCTGCAGAGAAAGAGGATGGCGCCAACACAATACATTGAATGTGAAACCCCTAATTAAAAGTAAAGAAACATTTTGAATGCGTACCGAGCCGAACGCTTTCTCCGGATGATATAGGTGAACATTTATTCATCTCTAAGCGGTAGAAAGAGGCCAGAACTCGACATAGTGCAGGAGGCAGTCGCCGATGCAGCTGCATTCAGCCGTAAGACTGGACGCAGCTGGCTCTGTAAATGGAACCTACTGGGATATTGCCACTTTGGCTAGTGTTACTATTATGTATCCCACACAATAATTCAAAAAATAACTGAGGCCTTCCTGAATATGTCAGCGCCTGATCGCAGTTACTGAAGCCCAAGGAGTCATAGACCTTAGCTCTTATGCCTGCAGTAAACTTCGCTTCAAGAGTGTACAAAGTTCCTGTGCAACATGCGGGACAAATGCCCCCACAGACAAAGTGAACTAGGCACGGTCTGCGACTCCTGACGCGTAGCGTGAGCGAATTGTCTGTTTTCTAAAGGGCTGCTGCCAGCCCCAAACACGGACCTTAAAGGAGTACAAGAGAGATAAGAGACACTTTAAAAGCTGCTCTTATCCCAAGCCTTTGCTCTCTACACCTTGGGAGTGTCCTCACTCTCCCAGTTCAGGTTCGTGGAGAACTGTAGTGTCTCACTGTAGTGTCCCGCCCAGGAAGCACTGCCTAAAGAGTCCTTCTTGATGCTAACACCGGTACAAGTTGCTTGTTCTTGGGTTTTCACTGCGTTGAACACAATGAGTTGCCAGTGAGGTTTTTTCTCCAGATACCATGTTAAGGTTGTACACGCTTGCTGGAGTTTCTAGGCTAGCAGTGTCTTCTCCCTAATTCCTACAGAAACGCTCTCACTATTTTCTAGCCTGATGCTTTTTAATTGATGCGCGCAAATGACGTCTGAAAGAGACTGCACTTGTCAAAGTGACAGAATATTTATCAGGGCTCATCTTTTGCCCTTTGAGTTTCAACCCAGGTTGTACAAACATCAGCCAGTAAAAAGTCAGCGAAATATGAGAAGGATGCTCGTTCAAGTAAAAATGTGGACTCGTCGCCATTCACATATGCAAAGTCGAGAAAATTAAAGAGCCAAGCTTGGAAGGCCGCAGATGATTACATGCCCTAGGAGAAGTTGGATCCGTAGCAGAAGTGTACACGACAAATTTCAAAGTGTTCATGGTGAATGTACGCAGTTCCTCGAGCTGTAGGGATCGTTGCTCCTCAAATGCTAGTACATCTCTGCTGTAGATGTGTAACTTCAGCCGTGGCTAGTTGTCATCGCGTCTAGTTGGTGTCAGGGCGATGGCTACAGCTTTGATATCACAAAATACTGCTTCCACAGTACTTTTCTCGCGCTGTGGGCACAAGCCATCGACGTGTACAGGCCCTACGCCCTTCCTCTAAAATGGAAGCCATAAGCTCTTAACCCTAAGTTCCTCAGCGGACGATTTGTATTGCTCAGCTTGCGGCACTGTGGTGCTTCGTGATACCGCCTCTTTGAGGAAGAGTCCGAACACCTAACGAGGAGCTCATCGCGTATTTGCTCTAAGCGTGGAGCTGGAGAATTACAGGCATGTTGCCTACGCGTTTGTCTTATGTGACTTAGAAATGCGGAATGACGGTTATTATAGGGCAATTTAGTGGAAAGAGGGGAAATTGGTGGTATCTCTGCGTGCCAGTTCAGGTCTGTCTGCTTTTCTTATGCTTCTGTTTCCGCTTTGCATGTGCAGTTGTACCAAAGAGACGAGACACAAACCCAAAAACACATAACGCCCACCATTCTGTACGCAGTAGTCGCACTGCGTTCTATCCTTAAGGTTCTCGTTCCCTACTTATCGGTATTAGCTAGGCGGTAAATGGGGTGGCTAGCCTGGGTGAGTTGGCCAGCCTGCTTGAGGATGGGGCATGGCTAGCCAGGGGATGTGTTCTGGCTCACCAGGGTGGCCAGTACGGCTAGCTGAGATGGAGAATATAGCTAGTCAACGCTTGGGCCGTGACAAGCATCCCGCAGGTATGTCTAGCCATAGTGGGATCTGTGGCTAGACGCGGGAGTCCGTGTGGCTGCGTGGCTAGCCACTGGAGCGGCTAGCAGGGCCGCTGCTGGTTGCAGCCCTGGTTATTGTTGTTCCTTCTGAGACAATTGAGCGGGGGATAAATGAAGAAAGAATTCTACATATAAAAGTGACATACAAGGTCCACTTTGAGGCCGCGGGGGACAGCAGGGCCGTAATACTAATAAGAAAACTGAACCTCTTGTATGCAGCAGCGCCGCATGAATCAAATGACGCTGCGCAAAAAGCCGTCTCCTCCTCAGCTTCTTGTTTCCTTCCTTCTTGTCTTTGCTTCCTAGCCACTGTGTGTGTCTCCTGCCTCTTCGCCGGTTTCTTCGTCATCTCCATGAATACATGTGTGGATACATGTATCTGAATGTATTTACATATACATATTAGTATGTACTGTATATATATACCCGTTATTATGTACATATGTATATGTACATACGTGCATTAGTCGCTGCTTTCCCTTCTTTTCTCATGCCCCACAGAGTCCAGTCGCGTGGCAGCAGTTACTGCAGCTCCACGTGGCAGACGCTAAAGGGAGAGTGCAGAGAGATCAAAAACATTGAATTAAAAAGACAGGCAGAGACGCGGCGAAAAACCGTCAGCTTAACGACATAACACAGGTCGATTGGCCGCTTCTAGCCGCAGCAGTAGAAACAGCAATAGCAGCAGCGGCAGCGCCCAGCTCCTCCCATACTGCAAAGCCGCAGCAGGTGTGCGTTGTCCTTAAAAAAAACACCTAACAAGGATTCCCATTTGGTTGTCTCCTCGTTTAATTTCCGTCTTCACCCTTTGAAACTTCCATGCAGCTCCTCCCCTCCAGTTCGAAGCCCATATGCACTAAGCTCAAAAACTTGGCCGCAGGAAGAAAAAGTGAAATAATAAACCTTCGCTGTGTGCATGCATGCTCCCCCTCCTCTCATGCACGCAATAGCAACTACCTTGTTCACCAGGACCTGTGAGCCACTGAATATGCCCTGAGCCGCGCTCTGGCCTTTCTCCGCTCCTTCCTAAAGCCCTCGTTGCGTTCCCTCCTGTTTGAAGAGAGAGACACAGCAGGAAAAAGAAAAGCGCAGGACCCGACGGAAGAGGACGAGACAGCGCATGTATTAAGCCGCTCAGGCGGTTTGTTCTGAAAGAGCGTCTGTTGGTCTCAGATGAGGCTGAGGCCTCGCCATCCAGTTGTCGCTCGTGTGGGCCCTGGGGCTCCGTGCCTGATGATAAGTGTCTATTTCTTGTTCCTTCTTTTCCCTAAACTCTATCGCCTTCCCGCGAGCAGCCTGGTGGGTCCCAAAGTCTGCAGTCCACAGCACACTGAGCAGCCAAAACAACTTTTGTCAGTACACCTGGCTACCTTGCTATGCAGCTATCCAAACATCGCTTAGTCTCAACCAGAGAAAAGTGAGCTTCAAGAGGCATTCACTTATCTAGCAGATCCCTGGTAAGCACCGAATGTGGCAAAAAAACGAAGACAAAGCAACAGAACGCAGAGGCAAAGATGCAGTGATTTTTGACACTGGACACTTTCCAGACCCAAGCGAACAGAAACGCGGGCATAGCTGTAGGTGCATAAACTACTTCAAGAAAGCAGCACAATAATCGGCAAACAAGAACGGAGGGGCAGCAAAACATCGGTCGGCACTGTCACAGACATACTGACCATGTACTGAGAATCCCTTAGTGTGAATTCGTCCATTCTCCTTCCAATTTGCCCTCCACAGTCTCCTTCTCTTGTCATAGTAAACGCCTTTGCGCGCCACGAAAGACAAACGCAAACCTCCGTCCTCCACCACAATGTGGTTGGCCTTGCGGGCTGCTTTCAAGAGGCTGCCCTCGCTACTGCCCGTAGCACTAGACCGAGCAGAAGCAGGAGGTAAACGGGACGGGACCCCCAGGCGAATACGATGCAAGGGCGATGGTTCGCCGCCAGCAGCAGTTACGGCGAGGGAGCCGTTTTTGTGCAGTACCTGACCAAACGGACCACACAGCAAACCTCCCCGTATCTGTGTTGATCTTCATCTCCCACGGCAACATGCATTTTGCTGCATTCACTCCCCGCCTCAGCCACCAAATTCAACACAGAAACCGACTGGGCAGTGGACTAATCAGGGCAGCAGTGAGACTAAACGTATTCCTCGCCACACCTCGCAACTTAAGGCAACACGCACAATAGTCCGTTTCCACCACCACAACATAAAGCTGTCGAAGGCTCTCCAGGAGATCCCTGCGACAAAATCTGTATCTGCCGACCTGTGTAAGTTTGGAGGGGTGGCCCCTAGTTCTAGGGGTTTGCTGTTCCTCCGCGGAAATATTATTGAGGGCATTCTGTTCAGTGAGCTCCTTAGCGTCTGAGTCACCCAGCTCATCCTTTGTCGAGCCTATGGGCCTCCACCACTCGTTGGGCTCGGGCGCCCGTCGTTTCTTATCACGTGCCAGGGGCCCTGCTTCGTGCTCCCATGGTCCAGCTGAGGCACGGCCAGAGGACTGCTGCGCCTGCTGCTGTTGCTGCTGGGGGTCACGCTGCTGCTGTTCGTGCTGCTGATCCTGCTGCTGGCATGAAACTTGCACTAGGTACTGCGGATGCTCCACCTTGTGCTGCTTTGCAGGTTCATCCCTGTCCCCATCGCCAGGTCTCTCATGCCCCTCAGTACGGGAACCCTGGACAGAAACAGAATCACCTGAAAGGCGGCCACCGCAAAAGAACTTGCTGGTGCTATGAGCGTCTGCTGCAGGTGATATTGAGGGAGCCTCGGTCTGCTGCTGCTGCTGCTGCTGCTGCTGCTGTTGCTGCTGCTGCAACTGTTGTTGCTGCAACTGCTGCTGCTGCAGCTGTTGCTGCTGCAACTGCTGTTGCTGCAAGTGCTGCTGCTGCAGCTGTTGCTGCTGCAAGTGCTGCTGCTGCAACTGTTGTTGCTGTAACTGTTGCTGCTGCAACTGTTGCTGCTGTAACTGCTGCTGCTGCAACTGCTGCTGCTGCATTTGCTGCTGAATCAGCTGCTGCTGCAGCTGGTGTTGTTGTAGATGCAGCTCATGCAGCAGCAACTGCTCCTGACGTTGCTGCTGTTGCTGCTGCTGCTCCTGCCGCCGGTGTTGGTGCTGCAACTGCGGAGGCTGGAGAGTGCGCCGTCGACTCTTGCTGAAGTTATCGGTGTGCTTGCCTGACTGCTGCTTCTGCTGATGCTGCTGTTGTTGCGGTTGCTGCTGCTGCTGCTGGTCCTGCTGCAGCTGCTGCTGGTCCTGCTGCTGGGGAAGGTTGCTTGGGTTCTGAGCTGGAATTCTAGGGCCATTTACGCGCCAAGTCTGAACCCATGGCGTGGAGGGCGACTGATGGAGAGTCCAGCGGCCCCCAAGGCAGTGTGCTGGGTCTATTGAAAGCCCCTCTGTCTCTTCACACTTGCTGCTGCTACAACTGCTACTGTTGTTGCCGTTGTGGAGTTGCTGCTCGCCGTGAAGTGTCTCCTCGGGGTGGGCCTCGGACAGTAAACCCCCTTCGTCCATGTGCTGCTCCCTCACGGTGCTGCTGATAGTACTATCCCACTTAGGGGCCCCCGAAATTTCGGGAGAAGAGTGCTCATCCAGGGAGCTCGGTGACTGACCGTAACAGGCGTGAGGGGGATCTGTTGAAGAAGCTCCAGCAGCGACACCAGCAGTGGTACGGAAATCGTCGCAGCCAGCGGAACTGAAGGGACCCAAAAGATGGGCAGCAGGGACTTCCTTGTCTGCAGGTGTGCTAACTTTGACATGCAGACGAGGTGGTCGGTGTGCCCAAGTTTTGTTATTTACAGCTGCTTTGACTGGAAACGCATTAGTGCTGCTGCCACCATTGCTGCTGACGCAGCTGTCGCACCATCCACAAAAAAGGCGATTTCGCGGATCTTCTGACTGGGAGGATCCCTGTGTTTTGGGTCCGCCGTACTGCCCATGCACAAGAGGGCCCTGAAATGGGTACTGGCCCAGAGATAGTCCGTTGGCTTCACTGTATTCGCAGACGCCGAATTGTCTGGAGTCGTCCCGGCAGTCTGCGCAACTGCAGCTGCAGCTGCATAAGCCATCAAGCGCCCCTCGGCAGCACGGAGGGTAAAAAGTGGAATTTGACAGCAGGCTGGCAGCAGCTTCCCGCAGGGCCTTAGTGGCAGCAACAGCAGCAGGAGATGCAGGGGGGATATACGGGTTGGGCGGCTGCGAAGCACTATCGACGAACGCCCCATGTAGCCACGGAGGCCCCGCAGAAGCGGGACCCACAGGGCTCCACGACCCGTCGAGGCAGTGCGAGACCTGCGGAGCCCCTAGGGTTGCTGCCCATGGAATCGAAGTGCTGCGATGCCTGAGGGGCTCCTCATCAGCCAGAGGGCCCTCTGAACATAAGGTTTTACTGGAGTCCTGTCTGCGAATAGAAACAGTACGGGAGACGGAGTAGGTGCCGAAAGGTATTTCTAAGAATCGGCTAAGAGGAGCATAGCTGCCGTCTATGGAACGGCGTCTACCGTCCAGCTGCTGCAGCAGCAAAGACAGAGCGGGGCCATGCAGCCCCCCAAAGCTATGGGAGGAGGCGCTCCACAAACGAGGTAATGACGCGCTGCACCACAGGCATAGCAGCGGCAGCAGCACAAAGTACAAGCAAATACTGAGGGGATAAAATATGATTAGTAGGGAAAAGAGGAGCATGCGACAAAGGAGACACAGTTTGGGAATCAGCCGCGCTCCGTAGCACATAGTCAGCGGAAGCAGCAGCAGCAGTAGCCTTTTTCGAGGTAAAAGCAATGACAGTGAATCGCATCAGCCTGATTTAGACAGGATATATAAGGTTATAAAAACACAGCGAGTAGGAAGCAAGGAGCTAACATATAGCCTCACCAAAGTATATCTACAGTGTCTAGAGTCACTGCCTCTCCTTGGCGCCCCTCATTGTGTAACCCCCGACTGCTTTCGTCTTTTGCCTCTCGCTCATAGCCACAGTAAGGATCAAGAACCCCATGAGGGCCCTGAGTTCCGTGAGCTCCCGAAGATCCCTGGACTTCCTGGGACCCCCGACTCTTTGGAATCCCCTGAGTGCCTTGCCTCTTCCTGGCTTTCCATTCTGAACAGAGCCTGTCCCAGTGAAAGAAAAAGTTGTCATGGTAAAGGGCCCACCTCCTGGCGACAGTCCTGAGGTGGGTGAGGAGCTCAAACGTCTTTAGCTCTGCGTGAAGGGCCTCCCCTGTTGGGGCTGCTGCTGCCGCCACTATTGCTGCTTCTGTTCCTACTTCTGTTGCTGTCCCTGGGGCTGCTTCTGTTGCCGATTGAGCTGCTGCTAATGCTGCGTCTGAGGCTGCAACTATGGGGGAGCCATCAGGCGGAGAAAACACCTCAGAAAATGAGGCCACTTGGCAGAAGCTGTCATCGCTCTCCCCAGCCAGAGAGCCCCCGCTGCTGGCTGAGGTGCTGGGCAGGACTGACGGGATAGGGCCCCCCAGGGGATGCTCAAATTTGATTTCGCAAGGCTCACGCTTTTTCATGAGGCCCTGCAGGCTGGCAGTTTTGCCGCAGCCCCAGGCCGCCCCTGGAGAGGCATAAGGGGCCTCGACCTGGAGGGCCTCGCCTGCTGCTGTACAGGGATCTGCGTGCACACAAAGCAAATGGCGCTGGCCACGATGGCAGAAGTGAGAACAACGAGCTCACGTTTATTTCTGCCGCTGCAGGGTGAACCAGAAGAGGGCCTGCTGGCAGCCCTCAGGGGCCCCGAAGCAGTAGACAGATACTGTGCACACTCACTCTGAATTTCGGCGCGTGACTCTGAGCTAGTCAAGCCCGCTAACTGCTGTGTAACGGGAGGCGGAGGGGCCCCGGTAGAGCACGTGGCCTCTGCAGGCTGCTGCTTGTCAGACTCCCCGTAGGCCATTTCAGCAGCTGCGCTGCGGCTGGGGTCGCCGCCGTCCATCGTGGGCCTTCTGCATGGGTGGGAGTTGATTAAAGTAAAGACAGAAAGGGAAGAAGTTGGTAAATGCTGCTGCATCTTGAAGCGGCCGCAAGGCTTTGGCGTGCACTGGCCCACGACTGGCAGGACCAGGCCAGCCGCCCGCCGGCGGGTCACGGCAGCGATACTATTAGGCAAGGGAGGAAGCTTGTTTCGGGAGAACAAAGAAATCAGCCTTCGGCAGTAGCAGTTATAAAGCAGCAGGAAGGGAAGAGAACAGTATCAGATAAGGACATAACCGGAAACAACAGAAGCAAGGGGTCGCTGCTGCAGCTGCTGCTGAATGAGCCGTGGGGCAGCACAAGTCGAGTCGCGTCGGTAGCGTGGCCCTTGGGGCCTTTAAAAAATAATATTTGCTTCAGAAATCAGACTATTGCAATTTATGTACTCTTATTTTTCATTTGTGCAGCTCATTGTATAATTCCTTGTTTTCTACTTAACGCTGCACGCCACCCAGCAACTCGACAAAGCTGCTGAGCCTGCAGCGGCAGGAACCAAAAGATGTAGCGGCCTCCATGCAGTAACCCGTAGATGTGTTTTTTATTTACCTCCATACACTATAGCTCTCACTGTCTGTCGCTTGCGTACAGAAACTCCTCGTGCTTCAACTGTACTTCACTATCAAGTAGCAGTTACTGTATATTGGCTGTTGGCGGCTGTATAGTGCTGACAGCTGCACTGCTCAGTTCTGGCAGTTTAGTGTACTAGATTATCTATTCAGAATGTTTTAGGGCTATGGAGGCGTGGGATGCTGACATCGTAAGGAGCTTTGAATGCTTTCTGCCGGCCCAACTGGCCCGCTAGGAACAATGACTAGCTAATTGCTGCTGCAAATATAACTGGCTCCCCCTGACATAAAATGTCCATGCAAATGTTTTGGAGCTGAAGGCCAGTCGGGGATTGGCCGCGAGAGCCACAAAGGAGGTGGACAACTCCCTTGTCCAGCACACACCCTTTAGGGAGGTAGAGTCAAGAGTCAGGAGCGCGAATTGACCCTCTGAAAGACAACGTTACCCTCATACAAAAGCTCTCGACTGCTGCAGCGACTTCGACAGGGATGAAGCGCACTAAAGGGATCCCCAGGGCAACATGCCTCACCCTGACCCCATGGCCCATAGCAGAAGCACAGGTCTGTCAATAGACTTTGAATGTGCTTACGTCAGAGGAGGACGGAGCCCCGCACACATACACAAATCTTCTAAGGCTCAGTGGCAAGATCAGGGATGGCGCAGCCTGGGTACCCAGAATTACTATTCGAAATGAGCCTCTTAGGTGACAATGCCACCGAATAGTATTAACTTTCAGCGAAAACGCCGCACTTCTCGACAGACGCCGAAGCTAGAAAACAGAAAGTTAGAAATGCAGTGGCAATGTCCACTGCAACCTTTCAAGCCCACAGCCCTGATTTTCCAAATTGCTCGAAAACAACTGAACCAGTTGTTAAGACCGCATTGTTTGCCACCGGTCCTGAGTAATTCATCTTTCGAGACATGTTAGATAGGCGGCATGTCAGATTTCTGATGGCAGAGTAGACCGCAGCACTTTCTCCATTTCTGAGTTGCCAAGGGCATTGGTATCAACCAATTTGACCAAAAAAGTTCATTCAAGAGGCTTGCAAGCAGCACTAGTGGCGCCATCCTTTTTATGCACCAGCTCACATCGGTCCACTTTGACTCCACTACCATGGATACTGCACTGACATGCTGCATCCCATATTAAATACCTTTGCGTTTGATCGTATAGGTGGGCTGCACCACTTGATTCTCAACAATCCGGAAACTGACTGACACAGAGCTTTCTCAGTGTGTCGGACCAACACAAAAGGCTCTGCGCAGTGAAGCTGATGTAGAAGAAAGCGACTTTTTGGAATTTACAGAGCAGCACAAGCCCAACGTCACAAATTTGTGCATTGGTTACATCAGAATTACCGGAAAGCAGAAAACCACACTTACACGTAATTTTCTCTAGACGAATTTTTCAGGATCTCATCGATGTTGAGGAAAAGCCTAACATTTTAACAGCAACATCAGCACGGCCATGCTACTGCATTCATTCACTATGCTATTCTGCAGTTCAAAAGTCCATATCGCCCTAGGTTACTGAGCCTGGATAGGATCATGGCTGAACAGCGCATGAATCAGACTATCCGCAAACAGTTTGGCATATCCAGTGTTCGTTATATCTGATAAATAGATTATTTGGTATCGCCGTTGGTTGCGCTGGTCTTACCTCGTAAATGCAGGACAACACTGTACCTCCAACTTTCATCGATGCTGTTATCTACAAGATCTGTGACATGAAGGCCTCCAACAGACATAATATTAAGGAAGATATTTCTCAGATTCGCCGGGGAAAAAGGCTCTTATATGCATCTTTTAGAAACCCAGGGTCTCATGCGTATGGACTTCAGCAATGTTCCAAACACACTTAACGCTGATTGATGTCTTATGTGAGCGTATGCACGCACTGAAGTCATCGCAACCTCCTAGCCAGCCTACGTGATGTGCCAAAAATGCCGGCTTTAAAAAGTTGTACGTAGTTTTCGTATAAGTGTCACTAGCGGCTAAGGTGTTGAGAATGCTTCCCAGCCAGGGATTAGTTGAACACTGGATCGCAAAATTTGTAATGAGGCCACGACTGTGCAAGTGGCAAACAAAATATGGGCTATAATCCGCGTGCCGTACAGCTGTGTTTGGTGTGTCGCGATCTTGGTGGGCCGCGTGTGTGAAGGAAGCGGTGGTTCAGGAGCGGCAATGCGTGAGCGAGGAGCTCTCGTGTTTATGCTTGCTAATGTTCCACAGCCTGCACAATGCCATCGGATAGCATAGGACGCTCGTCACTGTTTGCACAGTAGCGCCGACACGACAAACTCACCAAAAGATGTGGCGAAAGCCTCCGGATGCTCAGTGAGTGCAGCGTGAGTAGGATATTCGGTATGGGGGGGCTACGTCTGTCACCTGCGTGCGCACTACGAATAAATAACGTTAGTGTGTTAAAATTTAACGAGGAAGCCAAGTCGTTGAGCAATGTGGCGTTGAAGGGGTCTCCACATGTTGAGGTTCCGTAAAAGACTGAGAAAATTGTGGCCACTGTCGGAGATCTGGTTTTCTACGTGTGCTGTGGCCAAGTTGTGCAGTATATGTGTTTATTTGCTTCACACCATGTGCCAGGGCCACTTTCGAGCTCCATTACAGAGTGTAGCGCTTTGCTGCCGGGCACTTTGTTCGGACGGAGGTAGTAGTGAAAGTGGTGAAACTGCAATCAAAGCTTCGAAACTCTGCAGAAGCCAAGAATTTGTACATTTACTGCTGATCGGACGGGAAAAAGCAAAGAAAACTTCACTTTTTCTCGTGTCGCAGGTAGTGGCGTAGAAACGTTGCTATAATGAGTCCTCTATGTCCCTTGACACAAACGAAATGAGCTGCTGATATGTAAATGTAAATTTTTTAGATTTATGTGCGTTAGGCAGAACGTACTCAATTTCAACTAGAAAACCTACGAAATGAGTTGCTGGTATGTAACTTTTTTATATTTATGTGCGTTAGGCAGAACATACTCAATTTCAACTAAAAAACCTTATATATCTGAATACGCCTACAGGTTACATGGGTACCTGGGCAATCGGGCTCTTGCTGCCCAGTTTTAGGGCAGCCCAGTTTTAGGGCGATTTTAAGCGTAGCTCACGTTCTCTGCGGGAGCGGGGCAACGTGTGTATATATGTGTATACATATATATTTATGTATACATTATATAGATGTATACATATACATGTATATGCATGCATATGCGCGTACACATATATGTGTGTCTGTGTGTGTACGTGTATATGACTCTTGTCAAGTGCATGCTCACTAGGAAATGATAAAACAGAAAGAGAGCGCCGCCTTAAAGAGCTGCGTTGCACGTGCCAGCCATCTTTGTTGCAACTTGTGTGATATTTCTGGCTGCAAATTTCGCGGGCCCAGGAGGTCGAGAGACCATGCTTTCACAGTTTATGTTTGCAAAAAAGAGTTTCGTCTTAATGTTCTTATTTTTCGTGTAGGCATGCTTTCTTTTGTGAGGTCAGAAGGCTGGCTACGCTGGGAAGCATGCCTCCGCATACATGAGCAGTTACGTGATTGTCAAGAAATTTATAATAGGTATCACATGGAGGTATTACATGGAGTGCTACGAATACTTTTCCAACAAATGAGTGACACCCATAAAGTTGCCGAAAGATCTGCTAGTTGGGTTTCGTCTGGGACAAGTATATATTTGGCTATCGTCAGGCACAAACTCTGCAGCAAGGCTGCTACAGCCAGCCCTTTCAGCAACTACATTTTTGCGTACGCGGGGCTTGCAAGAAGAAAAAGCTCACGGAGAAAGACTAAGAAGTGGCTGGTAGTGATGTGCAAGAAAAAACGTTCCCTTTCTTACAAAGTTAAGGTCTGAAGGCACTTGCAGGCACTTGCCTTGTAGCGGAGCTCTACCGTCTTCAGCGTCGCTTAATTATGCACAAGCCGTGAATTTTCTCGTTTGCGCTCTTCATAATGTGTTCTCTTCTGATACTGCTAAATACCGGGTAGGCCACGGATAGGGACTGAACCCAAGAGCGAGATGGAAACCCTACGGACTGCAGCCCAAGCTGACGGCCTCTGCCAAATTGAGCGATAGCCGCTTCATCTTTCTTCGTCAGGCCTATGCCTGAATATTATCAGGTACTTTCCATTTTATTTACTATGTAGCCCAGAGATGCCAGTTTTTTTGAACGTAAAGCAATACAAAAGCGCACGATGCCTAGCTCTTCCGCGCAGTTCGAGTGTCTGGCTAGGAAAGGACGGGCTTTTCTTTGGCTATGTCTACAGGTCTCAACACTCAGCATTAAATGCATGAGCACTACCGCGTTCGGTCTTTTCCTGGGAGAAATAAGCGCTCCTAAAGCTGCTGTGGGCAGCAGGAATTTCTCCACTGTCCCAGAAATTTTTATGCTTCCACCTAAATTTCTGGTTAGTTGAACCTATCGTCCTACGGCAGAAGGGTATTGCCATATCAAAGCTGCGTCCCAGCTATTGCCACAGACTCATCGGTGTGCTATTGCTACGATTGAGACATCTTAACCACGGCTCCTCATCGCCGTTGGCAGCCTCCAGAGGCCCATCATAATCACTGGCCAACGTGCAACTCACAGCTGTTAAGTCATAAAAAACGTACTAAATATTCGTTCTACAGGTTCGATCACTGAGGTTCCGCTCCAAGTAGCTTATTTCAAGTTAGAACCGGACGATATCGAGTAGACCGCACCATCTATAGGCAACCAGTAACAAGGAAGCCGCTCGTGTCTGATTCACCTGTCCTACTTTATGTTAAAAATACGTAGATGCATTTCCGTCTTCCTTCTGAAGAGCTGGCTTGATGCGGCAAAATTCACCTAATCACGGTGCTTCCGTGAGGCCCCCAGAGCAGCCCCAGTGGCCCCCAATGCTCGTTGTGTGCGTTCGTTCCATGTGCATTTGCTGTTATGTATTAATTTCCTCTCTGCGAATTCTTGCTTTTTGTTTTTTCCGGTTGATTGGTTACTGCAGGAGCGCTAACGTGGAGCACCCGTGCTGCTCACCACATGGCCTTTAGGTACGCTCCGCATAGCCGAACGACCCCTGTGTGCTCGCATCCTCGTATCATCCGCATTAAAGGCAGAGTAACTGACGCCTCCATCCCGTGGGAGCTCCCCATATTGCTAGGATGGACTCCCGGGGGCCCTCGAGGGCCCAGTTCCATGATGGTGAGCGCCGCAGTGCGGTGCTTCTCCACCCGCCGTAAGACGGCGAAGGCCATTGGGCAATGGCATCTGCAGCAAGAGGCTCGCCGGAAGGCCCTTCTTTACCAACACAAAGTAGAAATGGGGCTGGCCAGTGTAGACTCAAGGAGCAGAAGAGAAGGCGACAGTCCAGCAGCCTCGCAGCCTGCACCGTATCTGCCCAAGTACTGCTCCTCGCTTTCAGCCTTAGAGCCAGCCCTCGCGCCTCCCGCGTTGTTTCAGGCTGTGCACATCACTCCTGAAAGCCCTACTCGCCGCAGCCTCCCAGTGGAGCTGCAGAGGGCCCGGAACCCTCGTCCTCTTGGCCGCATTTTTTCCCTAAAATCTACTGAGCTAGCCTCGGCTGTGCGGACTGCAGCAGCAGCGGAAGTAGCAGGCAAGGGAGTCGGTGCTACTGTGTGGAGCCAGCTGCATGCGGCCTGCATCAGACGAAGCCCCCACTTCTCGGCGGCTGAGGCTGCCCTGGTGCTGCACAGCTACGGGTTGGCGGGGCATCAGGCGCTGCCTGTGCTGCGCTGCTGCGTACGTACACTGTTGCTCAAATGGGGTGACGTTCGGCTTCTGGACGCGGCGAGGGCCCTTCACTCTTTGTTTGCTGTATTCAAAATACGAGATACTCAACTGCTGCTGAGGTGTATGAACAGTTTCGGGCCCCTCCTACGCAGAGACGCCGACCGGGCCCACAGGGGGCCCCTGCCCCCAGAGGAGGCCACCCAGCACTTCCTTACACTTGCGTTGCTCCTTAAGGCTTTCGCAGCAGCACAGCTGCCTTACAGCCCGCTGCTGAAAGCTGCGGCGGAGACCGTGAGGGCCCAGCTGCTGCTGCCGCAGGCAAAACCCCCATGGGCCCCCCATGAGGGTCTTCAGGGCAAAGAAGGGGCCCTCGGGTTGCGCGGCAAGCGCCAGATATTCTCCCTTCCATTGGTGGGAGGCCCCAAGGGGACTTCACAGAGGACGCCGCCGTTTCCTCCTTCCCTTTTGGTTTCAATTGTAGAGAGTCTCTCGCTCTTCGGAGTGAGGCATGAGCCGCTGCTGCAGGCCTTTGAGTCTTTTGTCTCAGCTTCTATTCCTATGGGCCGCCGCGCTGTAGCTGCTGCTTCGCCGTTGCTCCAGGGCGCAGAAGTGGAGCCGCCGCAGCAGCTGGGGCCCCCAGTGCAGCGGCAGCAGCTAGATCCTGCAGCCTCTTGGGGGCCCCCTCCTTATCTGTACGCCATAGGCAGGCTCGCCCGCACCAGCAACATCACTTGCAGCCAGAGTGGTTGGCTAGCTGTGCCGTCCCCAGCTAGCCAAGCCCCAGCTGGCCAGGGTGGCTGGCATTTGCGCCACTTAAGCCGCGCAGTGAGGGCTCTTGGACTCCTGGGGCGGACCAGTGGACTGCTAATGGACCGGTGGGTGGCTGCGCTGCGTCAGGGGGCCCCCCAACTGCCTCCACAGGATGTAGTGGGGGCCCTGGAGGCCTCCCGTGTCTGCGGTTTTTTCTGCCGGCCGCTACTGCAGCAGCTGCTGCGCTGTTTCGCCCGCAGGGCTGCAGACCGCTCGCTGCCCCTAGACAGCCACACCGTTCTAGCTGCAGCAACAGCAGCAGCAGGCCTCCCTCTGACTTGCCGGCCCTTTTGGGAGGCCATAGAGGCCTCAATCCGCCGCGGGCCTCTCTGCAGAGGGATAGGATTCAATCAGCCTCAACAAATAGGAGCCTCCCAGTCATTGGGACCCCCCGAGTCACCAGGGGAGGCCCCTGGTGCTGACGGAATCTCTAGGGACCTACCGAGCCACAGCGACGCGACATTGACTGAGCTGCAGCCCGGTGCTGCTGCTGCTGCTGCAGCTGCTTCCTCGCAAGCTCTGTGGGGTGGGGAAGACCGGGAGGCGGGATCGACTCCAGCAGACAGGGTCTCTGGAGTAGCAGAGGTGGAGGCGGGGAAGGCGGAGGCAGAATTGGCTGTGGCCTTACTAGGAGCTATTGCTGCTGCTGCACCTGCCCTACCTGTGGACCTCCTCGCTGCAGCAGCACCGACCCTGATACGGCTGCAGCAGCGGCGCCTGCCCCTATCTGCCTCCCTGACAGCATTAGGCAACGCTAGCCTCCTTTGCTGCAGGGCAGAACTGGAAGATAAAGTACAACGTGCTAGAAGGCAGCAGGACGCGCCCTCCAGCAGCAGCAGCTGTAGTAGTTGTAGCAGCAGCAGCTTGGATGCACTGGTCACAGCGGCAGAGCTGGGGCAGCACTTGAAGCGCAGCAGCAGCCAGCAGGTCAAGTCCCTTCTGCTGTTGCAGCGCCGGCAGCTGGAGAGCCTGCGGGGAGCTGCAGTGCCACAAGAGGGAAAGGGGGGGGATACGGGCTGGCACAAGCTGGTTGAGGGCCCCCTTGCAGGGGACTGGCAAGCTTTGGAATTGTGTGTCTACGGCATTTTGGTCGCCGGTCCCGCCACCGCTGCAGCGCCTGCTGCCCTCTTGCCAGAGAGGGAGGCTGAGGTGGAAACAGACCAGCGTGCTGCATGTGTTGAGGCACTGGAGGTCTTGAACCACATCAGAAGACTGGTGGTGGCGAGGAGGGACTGCTGCAAACTTGTCTTTGGCTCACTGGAGGAGGCTGTGGCCCTTCTCCACCTGGAGCTGCTGCCCTACTGCCCAGATGCTGCACTCGCAGCAGCAGCAACGAGGCTGCTGCAGCAGCGGAAGCGTCTTGAACAGCAGCAGCCAACGAAGCCCAATGCAAGAGGAGCTATCGGCAACAGCAGCGTCAAGGGCAACAGCATCAGCAACCGCCACAGCGGGAGCACCAGGAGCAGCAGTCTGCCCCAACACGCACGGGCTCCCGTCTCGAATGCAGAAAGGGCCCTTTCGTGTTTGCCTTCTAATATGCTGGCCAGAGGCCCCAGGGAAACTGTTCCACGACCTCAGCAAAGTGGGACCTGTGACCCCCTCTGGGTACCAGCAGCGGAGTCCCTAGAGGTGATTTTAAGCTGCTGCAGCAGCAGACTGGTGACAGCCCCCACTCCTTCTCTTTTGCACGCATCTGTAGTCACGCTGAGGGCCCTTGCCCACCCCCGAATGCTGCGGGGGCTCTTACGAGAGATGGGGGAGGCCCAACTGCAAAGGGAGGCGAGCGCTACGGACTCGACGGCTGTGCTGCAGCTGCTAGAGCCCGAAGAAGCTAGTAGCGCTTCCAGCCACCCTTTTTCTCATATTGGGTCAGAGCGAGACCAGAAAACATCCACTATGAAGGAAGCAGCAGCTAGCCCAAATCCCCGAGAGATTACTGAGCCTTTATCGGAAGTAGCACCAGCAGCCGCCTACAGCGAAAGTGTATCAGTAGAGGACCAGGAGCTAGGAGCAGCTCTGCTGCTGGTGGAAATCTGTCTCTTGGTTTTAAGTGTCTTGAGAGAGAGAGTGACGCATTCCCTGCTGCAGGCGAACGAGCTCGCGCTGCTGGCTGCAGAGGCTCAGCAACTCCTCCGGCGGCTCACTGCCCCCAGAGACTCCTTTGAGGCTTCAGAGAAGCCACAGGGGCTTCAAGACGCGATAAATGACCCGCAGACGCAAACAGCTTCCCCACAAGGGCCCCCGCAGAGGCCTGGGGCACTTGAAGGAGTGGACGAGCCTCCGCCTGACGCTGCTGAAACTGTGCGCAACTTTTCAGAAGTAGGCAGCGGGGCTGTCGCGGCTGATGAAATCAACGGGGAGGGCCTTGGAGGCGCAGCTTGGGACAGCCTGCTGCAACTAGAGAGCGAACTGGCCGCGTTTTTGGGGTCCCTGGCAGACCTGTGGCGCACGAAGCCCTGTACTGTATTCGCCGCGGGGCCTTCCAGCAGCTTTAGCGTTTGCATGAAGTTGGGGCTGTTGGGTACTGGTTTGGCTGCTACAGCAGATTCTTTGGCCTCTGCCCGCCACCGGGAGCATCTGCGGTCCGTGGCTTCTACTGCTGGGGTCCCACTTCCAGCCACCGCAGGAACAGAAATTGGAGAAGAGGCACTGCGCACTGCAGCACTCGTAGAGGCTCTTTGCCCTGCCGTTTATACTCCAGAGGGGCTGCGCTGGCTACGGAGCCGAGCCAGGGGTCGCAGTGCCGATTGGTCGCAGACTAATGCGCGCCCAGATTTCTTTTTCTTGTTTCCATTGAGGCCAGTCGATGCCGATGCCTATCTTTACAGAGCGCGTGCAGGTGCAACACAAGAGACGACTACTGAAGGAAAGAGCAGTGGAAACGCAGGTGCTTTTGCTGCAAATGCACCTGAAGCAGCTGCAGCGCTATCATCAAAGCCAGTATCAGCAGCAATTCACGGACCAGATTGTGATGCTGGCACCATGGGCAGTTTTCTCGGTGTGATATCTGCGATGGAAGAAGATGATCAGGAAGGAGAACACCGAAGAGAGAGGCCCTCAGCCGCTGCTTTGCTAAAACAAAAAGAGCACCGCGACTTGGCGCTAATGTGGCTGTCGCAGCTCATGAGGTGCTGCGTAGCCCTACACTAGGAGGTCTTGCTGTCTTCTTGCTGTCTATCGCGGACCGTAGGTAGTTGGGACAAGGTTTCACGCACATCCGGGCTGGCTACAAGGGGCTGCAGCCTGAATTGAGCCTGAATAGAACCCGCATCCTGTGGACGGTCAGGTGGAAGGCTGAGGCACTGCTTTGTCCAAATTCTTTATGTCTAGAACGCATGGAACAAGAGCAAAGGTGCAACAATGGAGAGTATAGGGCTGGTCTTTTTAACTTGCTTTCGTTATTTTTTAGTCTGTCGTCTCATAAAGGCACGTCCCAACTGCATCCCCTCCAGCTTTGAACTCAACCGGGAAAGTTTCCCTTTTTTTATTGTGGACGAGTGGGTACGTGCCCGTAAAACTTATATATGAATAGTCAGAAGCTGTTAGACTCAGCCATACAGCCTACGCGTTTTTCCCGACAGCACGCAGCAACGGAGCAATTGCAGCGCGTGCATCTGGCAATCTGCATTCCTATAAATCCGCAACAAACCAGTTAGGCGAATGCAATGCCCGGCGACGCATCGGTCATGAGGTAATTCAGGCTGTCGCCTGTCGTTGTGCGGGTCAACGAAGTGAGGCGGGAACGAAGCCTCAGGGTGCTACAGAAAGTGCGGAACAAGCGCACGCAGGGGCTGCATCGTCACCGCACAATTCAAGTTCACCAGCAGTGGGGATTTTCCCCATCAGGATGCAGTTGTAAGGGGAACTGGAATAATTGTATCTCAAACGTGTAACACCTGCAGCGTTGCACTAGGCTCCGTCACCTGACAGGGATGCCCCACCCTCAAAACAACTACAGCATGCCTAAGTGGTTCGACGCAACACGCTGATTTTTTGAATTGGAAATTCTGGGGAAATAAGCTCCGCTACGCCGGTAAGGCATCTGTCAATAATGCAAAAGGCGACTAGGAGCATTCAGGAGTTTTGTCCCTCTACGAACACCGTATACAGACTCATTCTGAGTCCAATGCGTATTTGATGTGCTCATATTTTGAAGAATAATTAAGGAGAATTCCAGCTGATACTGAAGATGTACTGTTGAGAAATCTATAAAACTGTCGCTGGCGGACACAGGGTTACCGTGGTACATGTCGAAACAGAGAACCTCCTCAATTCGGTAGGGAAGTAAAGTGTTGGTTTGTGGTCAGTTGCCGCAATCTTTGTGTATTGATGTGGCGTTAAGTGGTTTTCAACAGAGTTGTGCAGAAGTTCATCGGGACGACTCGGTAGCTATCCTTACGCTCTGAAAATTAGTGAGCTGAACTGCCTCCTGGACGATTGGCATCGGGAACCCCGTTGTGGGGGTGTTAGCCTAAGTGATACAGGCATAGCAAATGACAAGAAGTAACGCCAAGCACGTAATAACGGATGACAGCCTGTGTATTTGCGCTGTGTAAAACGAAGGTGGGGCCTCGATGGTCATTGAAAGAGAAGCGGCCAGGAGATCAACACCGGAAAATCAAGAGAAGAACCATTTGAATGTAGCACTTCAGAGCATTTCTACAAGAGCCTGTTATGGTTAATACATAGTTCGGAGCTCTTTGCATTCGGCATGCGGCGGCTCCCACCAGCCACAGATTTCAACAACAACGTTTGCATGGAACTCGCAGCAAGACTTCATCCGTTATTCTTAAAATGTTATTTATTGGTTAAATTTATTTTTTGTGGAGGGCCTTTTGCTTTAAAATGCACGTGGTTTTCAGCTAGAGTCGAATGCAACCGAGTCTCCCACCGCTTAGCAGCAGTAGGTGAATTGACTTAGTCAGAGGGACTGGCTCCACGTTTTATCGCCTAGCCACCGTTCTGTTTGTTTTCCTTAACTCCAAAGCGAGAATGAAGGGCCGGTGGCGCAAAGACAAGCGACCCGCAGCGGAGAAGTCGAACGGGGCAGGTTCTCTTACAGGAGGCTCAGCGGGCCAGCAAGCTCCGAACAACATTCTTGCAGGTTTCAGATTTTCCGGGACTGTCGACAAGGCTGCAGAACAGCAAAGAGAGTGCTACGAAAGTGCCCATGCTTCTCTTGTTCGCAGTCAATTTGCAATGTGTGACGGGGAGACCCACGATGACTTTATGGTGAGAGCAGCACAGCGGAAATATTCTGCTTTCCTCCAAATTGCATCGGTCTGAGGCACAAGGGAAGCACTGACAGAGTACCCGCTCATTCTCGCTGCAGACAGTACTATAACGACTGGTGCAGGCCCTGTGCAAGTTAAGGCTTCAGAGTTTTCTTTACTGGCACCTCATGTTTGATCGAACCAGTATAAATGTTTTGCCATTTGCCATTCACTTGCTGTACGGCCGGATTCAGAAAGCGCTCACGGGAGGCAGCATTTACGTTCCTGCCTTTTTCAATGCGAGCGAAAGCGAGGCGATATTCAACGCCCTTATGAAGGAGCTTTCAGACTACGCAAAGTGAGCACCAGCCAGAAGTTCCCATAGAGAAGAGGCTTTGGCAGCTCTTGCAGTTCAGATTTGTTGGAGTCCAGGTAGCCTTCAGACTGCGCAAAGTGAGCAGCAGCCAGAATGCTTTCATAGCCAAGGGAGTTTGTTGCTCTTGTTCTGTGAATCTTTTGAAATATCCCAACTTGAATGCATTAGCGCTTTTGTCTTCACAAAATAGCCTTTCCTGTTCGCCCTGTTTGCTGTGCCCCCTTAGCGAACAGCAGCAGACCCAGGCAACGGAGACACCAGAGGCAGCTGAGGCTGACGCTGCTGCAGCAAGTGGGCCAGCTGCTGCAGCAAGTGGGCCAGCTGCTGCAGCAAGTGGGCCAGCCGCAGCAGCAAATGGGCCAGCTGCTGCAGCAAATGGGCCAGCTGCTGCAGCAAACGGGCCCGAGGCTGCACTGAGCGGCGCGGGCGTTTGCCGGTGGTCGCGGCACTTGAAGCACGAGAACCCCGAGGGCTTTCCCACTTTTCAAAAAGTAGTTCAACGCATATCGAGTTATTTCGACTTGGAGATCTTCGCAACCAGAATGAACATCTACCCCGACGGCTCCCACTGGAAGCCTCACCACCACGACTCCCACGCCTACTCCTCAGAGAGAAACCAAGTAAGCAGCAGCAGCAGCAGCAGCAGCACGAGTAGCAGCAGCAGCAGCGGCGGCGTCAGCGGCACGATTAGCAGCAGCAGCACCAGCAGCACGAGTAGCAGCAGCAGCAGCACCAGCAACACGAGTAGCAGCAGCAGCAGCAGCAGCAACAATAAGGCAGGCCCGCCAGGCCTTCTTTTCTGTCTCCGCTGAGGCTTCTATTTCTATTTTGTTTCATTCTTATGGTGTCAGGCAGAGGACTTCACTGTGGGCGCGTCGTTTGGGGCGCAGCGAGCCCTAGAGTTTGCACATGTGAAGAGTGGCATTAAGTTTCGTTTTCCACAGACAAGCGGTTCGATTTTTTCGTTTAATTCTTTTGTCAATAAGACCTTCACGCACGGCGTGCCGGCAGAGCCAACTGCCAGCGTAGGCCCCCGCATATCCATCATTGTTTGGGGCCGGCGCCGCTCGCTGAACAAGTTGAATGCCTGCGCCAGCGAACTGAAGCAGTAAATTTTTTTCCAAGAAGGAACCCATATCGTCTATTACCTTTTATTTGCTGCTGACGCAACAGTAGACGAGCAGTTACTTACATATTTATACTCATTGCAGTGATGTTGCCGAATCCAGATACAAATCGCAAAACAGAGAAAGCGCGCACGTTCTTTCCACTTATTCTTAAGAATTCGGTTGAGATGCCAAAGACCCTGATTTTTAAGCTTCATGTACAGCTCATGAAGCTCGAAAAAGCAACGAAGGAAGACGGGACGCCCTTGAATACGCAAATCATTCAAAGTCAGCGCAGGTGCCGTTTGTGCCCTTCCTTCGCTACTTGCTGCCGAAACAGAGCACCATATGGACATGAGCCATCGCAGAAGCCTTTCTCATGCAGAATTTCTCTAATTTTCTGCAGCTACTGGACTCGCACGTGGATAATCTAGCGCAGTGCTGAACAGGTTTCGCTTGCCGGCTGCGGTGTATGTACTAACCAGATATGATGGCACGCGTCTGCTGCTGCTTCGGGTTCAGAAACAGTAATGCTTCGGCAGCTGCTGAGTATGCGTAAAATTTGAGTTTCGGTTTTTGTGTTTATGCAATTTGTTTCTTTTAATTATTCAACGACCTTACGCATACTGACAAAGGATTCGATTCCTTCATTTTCATTTTCAACAACTGTTGACGGGCCCTCTTTCTTTTCAAAATGGGTCAATTTTGGGGAAAATCCGCGAAATATTCTCACGAGGAGAAACCCGTTAAGAAGTGGTATACGGACTCAGCTTTGACTCTCCTCACCGGCTGTCTCTCTTTTATTACATTTTTGTTGAGTGCAACTGCCTGCTACAGCGGAAACCTGAGGCACTTGGCGCCATATGACTTGAACGGTTTGTCTCTTTTCCCCCTGACCACTTTTAATCCCTTTTCACCTTTTCTTCAGCTGATTTCTGCGGCTCCAAGCTGGTGGGCGAAGAGCGGCAGTACCTTTACTACCCTGATCCCCACAATCCGACGAGTGGGATCTGCGTGGACTCGTGCCCAACAGGTTCGCGGTGCCTTTAATGTGATCTGGACTTCGTTTATTTTTTATGTTTTTCTGTTTACAGCACAAACGCGTGGCACCATCAACATCCCTGATGGCCTTGGGGGCATTCAAGTGCATCCCATAACGAGCTCGGAGTTGGTAAGCAGCAGCAAAAGCACTGACCAAAGAATAAATGAATAGATCTGATCAAATATACCAAATGTGTTCTTTCTCAGGTCTCAGGACAATACTGTTTCCAGCGCCGGTTGAAGTCTCGGGAGATACTGACAACGCTACAGCAGCAGCGGCCGTTTTTGTACAGCATCGTTCAAGACATTTTCAAAGCTACAGAAGTCCTCTTTGCGACTATATTTCTTTCTATAGTGTTGGCAATTGCTGGCATTAAGGCTATGTTGAACAAAAGGGCCGGAAGAAATGTCTGTCTTGCTGCTTCTTTTGCCCCTTGTTTCTTTTCCATCTTGACCGTCTTGCTGACTCTTTACCACTTCTTCACTCCGCGAGTTCTCCAACCTGGCTTTTCCTTGCTGATCTTGTCGGGCATTTTGGTAAGGATTTTTATTTTCAATTTCTGCTGCCTATAATGACTTTGTCTCTTTGCATAGGCCACTATGTCTTTCTTGACGGGGACACTGCCCATTATTTTCCCTAAGACTTACGGCAGGTAAGGCTGCAGCAGCAAATGGCGAATTTTGCTGCAGCAGTTCTCACGCACGCGCTGCTGCATGCAGGTCGCGGCAGTTCATGCTTATTGGCGCGCAAGTCCTGGAGGAAATGCCCGACTTGTTGACCTTCATCATAGTCACAGTTGCGGGCATTGGCGTGACTGTTGTGTGGAACATTTGGATTTGCGCCTCTCTGCTCACTATGGGCAGAGCCGTCCCGCAGCCCCTTGTGGTGGACTCCCACAACGAAACTTACATGGGCATTATGGCTTCTTTCACGAGAACACCGGGGCAAGGACTGGCTTGCTTGGTTGTGTTGGTGACTTTCGTTCTGCAATTCGAAAGCGGTAAGGTGTCGGAACGATCATGCTGCTTTTCGTGACAATCTGCGGCAAAATTAAACTTGAAATGTGTCAATGAAAAATACGATAAGCATAAAACATGATGGTTTTTTCTCATTTGCTGAAAATCCGAAAATCTGTTTGCAGCCATTGTTTTCACCAAGTTCCTCACTACCCGCTGCGTCAAGAAGTGGTGAGTTTATTTCAAATGTTTTTCTTTAAATTGATTCAACAAAAGCATTTATTTCAGGTTCGAAAAATTGCCGAGGAACGGAGTCAGGAGCCCCAGATGCGATTATGTCTTGCCTGTTTGCATGGATGTGCCAAAAGACTGGGGCCCAATGGGAGCAGCAAGTTCGTCTCTTTGTCTCACATTTTAGTGTAACTTTCAACTCATCTCACTATATCATTTTACATTTTAGCTTTCTTTGCCCCAATCTGCCGTGTTCCCGCCACCTTCATGCAAATGGTTGCGGCTGAGAGCTCACTGGCGCCTCACACGGACACTCTTGCGACTTATCTGCAGCGTCGCTTTGCTTATCTCAATGACTGTCGTGAGTCATAAGGCCTAAATGTTGAATGAATGAATATATTAATAAGGCTTTATTTGCAGTTCTCTTCAACAACCAGCTGCTGCCTGTCAAGCTAGACGAAGCCAACGGTGGCTTTCTTGAAGCAGCTCTTGCTGGCTATATCGTGAGTTTCAATACTTGTCAAGAGTTTAAAAACAAGAAGCGAAATGTAACTGCAGGAGCTCACGCAAGGGAAAGTGGACGATCACTACCAGGCTCACCGCTATCACATCCAAGAGCTGCTGAGGTAACTAGGAACTAAACTACAAAAAGGAAAAGACGCATGAACTCAGACTTGCTTTATTCCAGCCCTGCATTTCAAATTGGCTTTTTCTCCACAATGGTACTTCTTGCGCAATATGCGTCACAAGGGATATTCCTAATTTTGTTTACAGAGCATTTTTATTGCTGTGCTGACGTGGATTGGCCTAGAACTAGCGCCTATTTTCAACAACACGGTAATGAACTTGGTTTATTGTGTTCAAGTTTCATTTGAATTGACTTTATTCGCGAAAATTCAGGGAGAGAAGGCGCTGGATTCGATCCCCGTGATCGTGCTGCTTGTCTTCGTTATGTCTGCACTTGTGCTGACAGTAAGTTGAATCGAATTTTTTTCTGCATTTTCCCCTTTCATGTTTATTCTTCTTTTACTATTCAGGTGTTTCAAGAAGCAGTGAACGCGGCGGCCTGTGCGGGGGTAATGTATTGGTCGAAGGCCGCATCGGATGTGCTGTGGTGCAATTCAATAAATTCTGTAAGCCATTTGTTCAAGCGATTAATTAGTGATCTTCGTACGTTTTTAAATGCACACCTCACCAATATATTAAGTATTCACCTGGTTTTTGTTTATTTTGCTGTATTCTTCGATTTTCGTGTTCTCAGGACACTCTTCCCGTATACGAGTCGAAACACCTGCGGAAATTCCTGGACCTGCTAAGGCGCAAATGCGACCGCCAGATTTTGTTTTAAATCAATATGAAGTTGGTGGCGAGATTCAGCCATGAACTATTAGGACAAACCGCTGCAGGAGGCGGCTGATCAGCGGCAGAAGAAACGAAAAGATGAACATCTTTATTAGCTCCACAGTTCCTCAGCCGCGGCCAAGAACTAAAACACCCGCAATAACATTATTCTCTTCAGCGCATTTCGTATTTTCAAGTGAACGCCTTAATCGGCACATTTCGTCTTTTTAAGTGAAAGCCTTGATCGTCACATTTCGTATTTTCAAGTGAACGTTTTGATGCTTGAACGTTCATTCCACAACTGGAAACGCGGCGCAGATAAGTTGTAAATCAGGCCATGGTTTCAATCTAAGGCACATGGTTCAGAATGTGCTGTTATCAGCTAAAACTGGGGGAAAAGTGATACACTATGCGCTAGTCTTCTAGCCCTTTTACCGTAGATGGCTTCTGAACAAACGGCAAACAACGTTGTCAGTAGAGGCAGCCACTGGCGATAAATAAATAATACTTGTCTTATAAGCGATAAACAAGTGCGAAGCTTGTCGCTGCAACATAAAAATGCAGTAAAGCTGGAGTCTGAGATGAATATGAGAGACGGCTGCGATTCAAGTGGCTCCATTATCCAAACACGAAAGAAGAAGCCTATCTACATGTTAGAGGCCGTCTTGTTCTGAAAGAACATCTGGAGTTCCAATTAACAAGAAACTCTGCTAAATGTCATTTTGTTTTGAAAAAAAGTGATATTGTTTTGACGGTCAACGTGTTATTTTGAATAGCAGTGCATATTGGACTTCTATTGAAGAACAACGCATGAACTTACAAGATTACGGATCTCCTTTCATCATTTCATTCCGTGGAAGTCCAGTATCATCTTTAGAATAAAATAGTTTCATTAATTAGATGAATTAATATGATATACTTGCACCCGGAAAGTTATTTTCGTTGCGAAATTTCGGGCCTCTTCTTCTTGGGCCCCCCAGCCGTCGGCAGCACCTCATGGTGGGCTTTATTGCCCCTCATGCATTTCGCCGAGCAGTTGTGTGTTGGCCTACATTTCAATTTAAATTTCAATTTAGGTGAATGGAATTGCTAAACAGTTCAGATGACGGGCCTATTTGTAGGAAACTCGGAAATGCTGTGAAGCTGGCGTGGGGTTGGCCGCTGCCAACGGGGGCCCTTCCCGCGCTGAGGAAGCGAGTTTGGAGTTCTAATTGGGCGAGTTACGTTTGGAAGATCAAGTACGTTTGTCTAGTTAGCTAGATTCGTGGGAAAAGATTATAAAGCTACCTGGAAGGGATGAATTTGCCATTTTTTCGGGACACGCAGTACGCCAGACAAGCCTCAGAGCGGAAGTCATCGTTCCCACTGGATTTTTGCATCTTCTTCAGTGAGTGCAATTCCTATTATTCTTTAATTTTCCAATGATTAACTTCACT